ATGAGTCAGAGGTGGGGGAAACCAAAGAGAAATGCATAATCAGTTGTTGCAACAAATCTCTCCATCCTCACCTGATGGACTAGATGGAAATAAGGACAGGAAAACAGGAAAATGTATGTCTTTTATTGAGAGTATTTGTTCAAAAATAAAATCAGACAAGTAAAAAAAGTTTCCATAAATAGGGTTAAATGGGGTTTTATGCTGGAAAATATCAAATCAAAGATGGATAAACGAGGTGTAGTTGGTGCTGGATTTAAGAAAGCTTTTGGTAAATCATGATTTTTTTTTGCTTTATGTTATCTAATTAACATTTTTCAATCGAGGCCATAATGTGATTTAAATCATATTTATAAAATTGTAAGGGTTATAAACACAACATCAGAATATTTAGATTCTAACATTGGAGTACCACAAGGATCTATCTTAGGCCCACTGTTGTTTAGTATGTATGAAAATGATTTACCAAATGTCTGCCTGTCAAATGTAAGCTGATGATGTTATTTTGTACAGTCAGCAACAGGCTGCTCAGAAAATGACTTTTACGATGGATCAGGTTTCACAATGGCTTACTAAATGTTGTTTACACCTTTTTGCCATGTTTCATTTTTCTTTTCTTTTTTTACTAAAAGTGCAAATTATGATGCAAAACCACAAGTGTTTGTCAGTCCAGGGATAGAAACTTGAGGTCATACATCAAATTAAATATTTAGAAATACTAACAGTTTCTCTGAAAAAAAAAAACAAGTGAAGTGTGAAGAAAGTTAACACAGTGAAATTTAATTTAGCCAATTTTAGACTTTTTAGAAATAGTTTGGAAGGAAGCAGCAGCTTTATGTATGAACTCCATGATTCTTCCACATATCACAAACTGTATAACAACTGTATAAACAAGCTGTTAAGGTCATCATTTTATTGTTTCATTTTTTGAGTTGGGAACATTTGAGATAATATTCAAAACATCAACCTGCCAAGGGATTAAGGATGAAAATTAGCCAATTTGGCAAAATCTGGCGCATTTCATATATTGATGTATTATTAATGTGTATTGTCCTTGATTAAATAAACAAATAAATAAAAAATTGGTATCCCATTTGTGTGTAAATTAATCGAAAACAGAGCGTGACGCAGAAGGATTGTGATTCCACAGAACAAACCCTACATATTCACATATATGTTGACGCAGAACTAATATATATATATATATGTTATATATAACGCAGCCATTCCAGACGAGTTTAGACGTGGGAATATCGCAAATTAAATGTCTCACATCAGACCTCTGAGTTCCAGGCAATCAGACATGTTCACATGTTGACCCCATGATGTCGCTACGACACCGAGTGTATATCATGTTTTTCATGTTAACAGAATAAAAACAACTTAAAATCCCTTTGAAATCAGCTGTTGAACAGCAAAAACTAAGGTATTATTACATAAACTTAATGTCTAATGTTAAAGTTTGTTTCTACATTAATGCTCATCGAAAGTGGGACTTGCGACATCTTGGGAGTGACGTCAAATGACGCGTCTCACTGAGATTGGGGTTGATCGATGTATCTCGAGTTCACATGTCGAATGTCCGACTTTGAGTGGCGTTCCAGACGTTATTTCCAAGAACGAGGTGGGAAAAATTCCAAAGTCCGAGCTGTCTGGAACGCAGCGTAAGAAAACAGCTCAACAAGACAAGGAACAGGTGTGGAACTAATCAGAAACCATGGTAACAAACAAATGAGTGAGAACTGAGGGGTTGTTTACACAACACTCTTAACAACCAAAAACGGAAAACGTTTTATACGTTTTGGCCGTTCATTTACATGACAATGGCATTTTGGGGGTCTGAAAACGGGAAAACGATAACGTAAACTAAACGGTGATGCTCATGCTCATGCGTATTATGTGTTCAGTAGACGCATAGTGTTTCTTTACAAGGTGACATCGCCAACTAATGGCCTGGCAGAATAATACAGCGTTTTAGTTGTTTTCGCAGATCTGTGTGAACGTTGTCGTCTGTACGTGAAAAACAAAAGAAAAAAAGGAAAACCGTTTCCTTTTTTAGTACACCATTGTCGTGTAAACGTACCCCTGGACAGAACATGACTATTGAACTAAACAGGACATGATCGTGACACAAAAACCATGTTTTTTTTTTATTTTAACCATATGTTAGATTATCTTATTAACTAACATTTTAACATCTAAATAAATCTGTTACTGCTAGAAGGGTTATTATTAAAATCGTAATAAACGTTGCTATATGGCAATACTGTACCACAATGGAACATGGTCAAAAAAGTAGTTTTTTTTATAGAATTATGATTTTCTTTTCTATTTAATTGCACTTTTCTTTTAGAAATTGATAGATTTATATTGGGACTCATGCAAACCAAAAAATAAGAAGATCCCTGTCATTTATCATTCCCAACCATTGGGCGAACTCATCCTCACTCTCATCACATGGAAGAGCTAACTCTGCACTCTTCCTATTGCCCTTTCCGTAAAATGTTGCTGTATTCATTTTCTGAAAAGAAGAAATCAATTGTTATTTATACATAAATACAACTATACTACAATAAAAACTATTCAAATAAATAAATAACTGCAATCATATTGTTAATGCTACTATCTATAAAAAAAATCCAATGCGGAAATACAATACGTACATACATACTTTCATACAGTACGTTGCCACATGGAAACATTGATATTTTCTCAATTTACAGTTGACAAAGTTGATTTGTGAAGAAAAATATCTAATTTACTTATCAAAGACGCTGCGAAAATATCCCCCTTGAGAAGAGACGTTTAGAAATGAGGTTAATAGAGCAATTTCTGGAGCACTTCAACAGGTGTCTTCCGTGAGAGAGTTTAGGAGGGACGTGAATCCATAAACAGCACATCATTGGCTGTCCTATTAATTCCCATAGTGCAATATATTGTATTTTTTTCTGAATAACAAGAAAACGAGTAGAAATTAATTGTCTCCATATGGCAACACCGTACCATTAAGCTAGTTGCCAAGGAAACATTTCTCATTTTTATTTAATTTAAGTTGAATTAAATAAATAAACTAAATCTAAACTATATAGACATAAAAAACTAATACAAATTACAAAAACTTACTACTGCAGATAACCTAAAAATAAAATCCAATCTAAAATATTAACAAGAACTCTGATAGTCTGTCAATGATACTAAAATAGCATTGACTATTAGATACTGCCTGTGAAATGAAACCACTTCAAATGTCTGCAAAAGTCTAATTTTGTCTTGTCAAATTCTCATATATTTCTAATGATTATTGATCAAATGCATGAAATAAATATTAATTAATGATACCTAAATTAGATTGTAGTAAATGCCTACTTTTCAAATGTATGCATGTAATGTAGTCAAGCGCTCAAAATCACAAAATCCTAATCCCCATTGTGCACCCCAAAATCATTTTGCCCCACCACTTTTGGAGTCTGGTGCAACATTTGGTATCGCCAATTAAAATCATACCACAACGCAATAAATTTCACATATTCTGTTATGTAAGTTCTTTTAGTTAAAACTGAATTTAATGATTTACTCACTAATACTTACATTTTGCATGTCATTACAGAAAATGGATTCTTCCTTTAAATTGTGACAACAAAGTATTAACATAATTTGGACCCTTTCTATTATATGGTGGAATAATCTCATTAAAATTTCTCAAAGTTTGCAGATAAAGTAACAGCTTTCACACAAGCTCAAACATTCAGCCATGTTACTAAAGTTTTTGGAAGAAAAAATATCAAACAATTATTTTCTCCTATACAGTATAAGTTTTGGTCCCCAAAGTAACTAGCATCTAGTGAGTCATAGTTAAATTTAGGCAAAACCTGTTAACTATGACTGTTTCCTTCCACATATTTTTACGTGCAATTTGGAATATTACATAAAAAGAAATAAAAAAAAAAACACTTGATGGAAATGCCAAAATTAGCAAAATTTTAAAAAATACGGATCAGTTGAGGTGGATCATTTCTTGTCCGTTAAGAAAACACGCTCATAAATTTCCAACAAATTCCATTTTTATTACAAATATTGTGTGCTAAATTCCCAGGAAGTGACGATTTTGTTCTCTTGAACACATGGGATGGAAACGGTGCTTTATTCGCAAATGTTTTATAGTCCAATTTTGTGCATAAGTTAAATCCGCAACTTTGGATGGAAACATTGTATATGTGTTTTGTTTTTCATTATATATGTGTGTGTGTGTGTGTGTGTGTGTTTATCATACATTTATTTAACGTTTATTGCAATGCTTATAACAAAAGCACCTTATATTAAACTATATTTAGACGTGTTTTGTTCATTTTGGTAACAGGGTTGCAAAAATGTCAAACCTCTTTAAAAAATAAACACAATATCTCATATAAGATTTTATTTAATGTTTATTGCAATGTCTATAACAAACAAAAAAAAAACCCCACCTTAATCAGGGTATTAAACTGTATTCAGGCATGTTTTGTTAATTTTGGGAATGGTAACCCAACAGGGTTGCAAATATTCCTCATATAAGTCCTTTTCTGAAATTTAAGCACCTCCTTTCAAACTTTTGAAGAGTTTCAGGCCTTGTTTCGAACCCTATTAAGTGGAAAGTGTGGTATAAATATTCCCCAAGCTGCAGGGCTCTATAGATGAACTAGGCGGATCTACGTTCACAGAAGGTTGTGCATGTGAATACACTTTTGATGAAGTCGCAAGCTGTCTCATCGCGTTCCTACATTAATTCATCTCGTTGCTCAGGAACGCGCTTGTGACCCCCAGTCACACGAAACCTCAGTGCAGTGGCATCGGCCCAAAGAGGTTAATTACGCCTGTCGCCGCATGCTCGCTCTCGCCGCGACAGTTTCACGCATGAAGCTTCAAGATGAACCGCAAGTTTGATGACACTTTCTTAATTGCTGTGGCTATAGTTTTGTAATATGATTGCAAGCGCCACCCCAGCACTCTCTTTGCTCTGTTGGCAGGATCTCCAGCGGTCTGTCAGGACTGCATGGGAAAGCTAACCTCAGACTCGAGCAGGAATAAGCCGAATCCCTGGTAGGGAGCAGAGAATTTATACACACAACCCTCATGAGAGGTTGCCTACTGCGAAAAACCATGAAAAAGATATATATTGGGAAAACGGCCCTTAAAACCCCTCGAAATGGTTGTAAACATCAGAAAAAGAGGTAAGATGCTCTCTCAACCCCGTCGTCCGCCCACCGCAGTCATCCCATCAGCCATGTGCATCCGTCGAGTGCCGAACTCATAGTGCTGTGACAGATTGGTTCCACCCTCACCATCATGAGTGCTGTTGCTACAAGTGTTGGCCAATGAATGTGCTATTGTACACACACATACAGTGCGATAATCATGCTCTCCAATCCACTTGTGACTATGGAAGTGTTATTGGTTTGCTAAATAGGGCTGTTTAAAGGAATTAGTGAACCAATACACGAACCAACACTCTAGTGTTAGTCCATATATAGTGGGTAACAAGTGGAACAAATCATGCAGTGTCATATACAGACCCCTGTATATTACCTCCATCTTGTCTCCTTCATATGACAAATTCATATGAGGTAGAGTTCGGGCTAGTTGTCACACTCTATGTCAGTAACTGTAAGGTTATTAGTAAAAAATGCAAGGGCGTATATTTAGAAAAGGGTAGGTTAGGGCAAGTTGTCACATGTTTTTTTTTTTTTTTTAAATCCCCCTGAAAAACATACATTGGAGAAAACATTTGACAACTAGCTTGGTCTGCCGTTAATCCTGTAATAATTTGGACAGTTTCAGTATCTTTGCTAAATGTATTTTATATCTGTCTTTTGTGCCTCCACATGTTAATCATAAGCTGGCTGGCAGATTCACTGTATGATAATGAAAGCTGATTTTTGCTGGAATCAGATGAGATTGTGCAATTTGCATTTGGAAATTTGCAAATGGTTTATTTTCAGTGGCTAATTCTCACCTACCACAAAGAACATTTCTAATAAAACACATACATTAAATGAGACATTGTAGGCTTATGTGAATATTGTTCACTTAACTTAAAAGTTGTTAGAATAGGGGCTTAAATGTGAAATATAAGTTAACATTTTATATCGTATATTGTATTTATGTTGTTTCTACAGTAGGCCTGGGATCGCAAATTTTAATGTTGCATGGGACTATTTCCAATTATTTGTAGAAATGTGTTATTTACAGTGGGATTAATTCGTGAATGTTCTAAACACTCAACAACCCTAGTTTTTAATATTTAATTTGATGATTTTTTTGTTTATTTTTAATTCACTAGTTCACTTGCAAAAAAAGAAAGAAAAAGTGAACACTAGTGCATCGACTGAGGTGACCCTGAACGTGATTTCGGCTGAGCTAAACATAACTTCAGCCGAGCGATCTCCGACCGCCAACCCCCCACGCCCTGCTAAATGGCGTGTTCTTTGACATTTCTTGGAGTATTATGAATAAGAATATTGTAATTATTCATCATAATATTTTCATGGTACCAGCTTACTACATTTTGTAAAGGGAATTTTCATTTTCAGTCTGGCTTAAGGCTCCCCCTCCCCCTAGTCTCTATTGAGGCAGCACAAGTGATAATAGTGTGTGAAACTGTGCGGTGTGTGTGTTCCGCTGTACATGTGCCCTGCTGAGAATAAGTGTGTGTGGTCTTCCATGTGTGCTCGCTTCCAAATACATGTGTGTATCGATTGTCGGCACATTTATCTCTCAGACGTGTTAAATTCTCACTGCTTCAGACACGTGTTGTCTGACAGCCTGATCAAGCTTGGTTTGTGGCACGCCAGAGAAGTCATTATCGTTCACCACACATCTGTCCATCAATACAAACCCATTAAGAGCTGTCAGTGGTTTTCTTACGTATCGTAAAAAGCTGTGTTTGGCTCCATCCATCTCTCTCACCCCATCCGCTTGAGTGTTTGATCTATAAATAGATGTACATGGCATTGGTCATGTGACTAAGGATCAATGTGGGAAATGAGAAAAAAAAAAGAGTGTTGGGGATTAAAAAGGTCATCAAAACACTCCTGACACAAGTGCTAAACTAAATGCGATTAGTGGGTTATATGACAGTTATTGATCACATCAGTGACAATGAAGCGAAATACATTCGTAAATCTGGCCCAAACTGAGGTTTTGCTTCATGCAAAACAGCTGTTTTGTTTTTTACATTCCCATTATTGATCCTGAATCTCTGCCTGGTCCATGTAGAAAGGATTCAGGGGGTATTTTTGTCAGATTTTGTGTCTGTAATCACATGCGCACCTCTATGTAGCTCTCTGCAGGAACAGAAGGAAGACCTGCGGAAGCGTCTCTCTTACACCACTCATAAGCTGGAGCTTTTAGAGCGTGAGTTTGACTCCACGAGGCAGTACCTGGAGACAGAGCTGCGCAGAGCCCAGGAGGAGCTCGACAAGTTCACCGACAAATTACGCCGGTAAGGAAAGTGGCATCTGGCTTTAAAACAGTGGGGCTGTTACCGTCCACATATGCTAATTAACTGAACTTTTTTAACAGGACAATGGACTTGAAACTTGGCAATTGTCTTCATCCCAACTAGCCTACTTTGTACTTCGTTGGTGATGGAAAAGAACATACTTTTTTAGTGTGTAGCAAAAGAACATGGCAGTATGTTAGCATCTATTTAAATTCATCACTATACAAATGACTCGACTTTAAGGTTAATACTGTTTTCGTCTTTTATTACAAGTTTCTCTCTCAGTAGGGTTTTATATTAGTCAGAACACAAAGCATACACAGTATCTGCATATACTATAATAAATAAAAAACGTATGTGAAATTAATAGTATACTAATTTATAGACAATAAAAAAAACGTAACTGACACTGTAACATGATAAAGCCTACATTGCAGATGTAGTATGTCCGGATTTAATTCATATTACACACATTCATACAATATAGAACATAATTTTTAATGGGCATGAGGTTTATTCCTACTCTAATATATGATTTTGGATGCACCTATATATTTAAAAACCATTGTTTGTTTGTTTATTAATAGAAAAAGTCACCACTAAAGTGAACTGAAACTGCTAAAAAGAGTTTTGGGGTCATATTCTGTAGACAAAAATCAAAATGGAACTTTTTGGAGGTTGAAAGTCTGCTTGTATTTGGTCAGAAATGAATACAGTAACAACGTCATACTTACAGTGAAACATGATGGCAGCACTGTGATTGTACAGAGATATTTTGCAGCCGTTGACCTGGACAACGTACTATCATTGAAGAAAGTATAATTTCTGCGACATACCAGATCATTCCTAAAAAGAATGTCTATTTGTGTGTGAGCTGAATATAAATCGTAATTGGTACTGCAGCAGGACAATAATTCACACAGAATCCAACACCAATGCGGAATCAGGTGCGCATCTTAATGGCTAAAAACTAAATTAAGGTTATGGATTGCCCTATAGTCAAAGCCCTGACTTTAATCCAATAGAGAATACTTTTCACAGGGGACTTTATGAGTGTATTATAAAGGTGCATTCAGTAATTTTTTTCTCATTAAAGAAGTTTTACCCCTAGAGAAATAAACACTACTACACTAAAAAATCAGTAACTTAAAATTCATAAAAGCTTTTTTATTTTACACAGAGCAGGTCAACTCATTGGGGCCGCCATGTTGAGATCACATGACCAGTCAAATACTACCTACACTAACACAAATAAGCAGTCATGGCTGACTGCCAATTGCACATTTATGCAATGTAATCAGTAAACCAAAATGTAAATCAAAATATTCTCTTACACTCAATTTCTGTGAAATAGTTGAGAATACCATTCCAAAAAGTGAATAACAGAAAACATCACTGACTTCTTCAGACCGTGCACTTTTAAAAATTGCTTTTGGAAGGGGTTTGTGGACAATTTTATCCAAAAAAGAAAGTTGCACAGATGCACACTTCAAAAATCCACTGGAAAACTATATCATCCAGACACCTTTGCCTTAATATTTTAAACATACTATGATTTGGGATGCACTATTTCTTACCTAGCGTACTACTTCGGATGAATAGTAAGTGAATTTGGAGACAGAAATTGTTTCACTTAGGCTAGCCAGTGCCAAGTGTGTAGGAGTCAGTTGTACAGTTATGGCTTGGCAATGTGTTGGGCTCCTCGGTCCATTGTAAAATAAATGTTGTGAATTGATATTGCAACAGATACCATAACATAATGCGGAAGATGAACAGGTGCGCTGGTGAGAGTTTTGGCAACCGACTTAAAAAATAAATAAAACCTGGGATTATGTAACAGATGTGTCTAAGGAAATAAGGAAGGCGTAAGACCTTCTTGTGCGTGCAGGATTTGAAGAAAGACGTTTTGTTCATGTGTTTCCCACAGAATACAGAGCAGTTACTCAGCACTGCAGAGGATCAACCAGGACTTAGAGGATAAAATACACCGAAATGTGAGTGCACACATGTGGCCACACTCTAAAAAAAGCACAAATTATTCAAGAGGTGTCTGTGCGCACTGCTTTTTGTTTTAATGTGCGAATGTTTTTGTCCGTATGTGTTTACAAGTAGCCTACTCATCCCCCTCTTTAAATGTTTTTTTGTTCAAATGGGTTTTTGGATGAAAGTGTTTACATCGCTGTCCGCACTTTTGTCGATACGTGTACGTGTTTTGTGGTGTGACATATTAGTGAATGTGTTAAATGTACAATAGCGCTGAATGCACTAAGAGTCTATTTGAATATCAATACACTGCCACTGGTGCGGCTGACATTAATTACAGTCCATTACAACAACCTGTCCGCCTTCACATGACAGTGTGATAGTGAGTCTATTATGCTCGCTGAATCTGCATCACAGCCTGTTTGTTAATTTGAAGTTCGAAACAATTAAATTATAATTAGCCTGCCTGCCGCAGTACATCCTATGACCAGTACATGTCTGTATTAGGATCCACCCCTCACGGTTTACTCCAAGTTTGTAATAGTTGACACATTTTTTTTAGCAACATATTGCGTCAATGATGACCCTGAAGTTTATGGGTCCAGGTATGAAAGGAAAATTATGTGAAAATCATCGGATATCAGCCTGCTATTGATGTTCCTTAAAAGTACGCCAATTAATTCCCATCTGCTGCAGGGTGACTTAAGACGTGCACTGACTTCTCACTGTGTGAACTCGTCAATATTCCTACTGGTGGTCCATTAGGGCCTATATCATTGTAAATGCATACATTTTTTTCTGAAAATGTGCTCCTTTCATCCAGTCACAGCACCACGATGATGAGAAACGGGCTCTCAGCCGAGAAATCATCGTCCTGAACAATCATCTCATGGAAGCTAAGATGACCATAGAGAAACTGAGAGAGGATAATGTAAGAGAAATAATGACAATCTGATTTCTTTTACTCACGGAGGCTTAATGGAAGCCTTTTGGAGGACTGTGTATTTGCTTTGGATTATCAAATGTTCCTTTTCTACCACTCTCAATAGGACTTATACAGGAAGGACTGTAACCTGGCTGCACAGCTCTTGCAGTGCAATAAGTCACACTACAGAGCCCAGTTATCTGAGGTAAGTTAGCATGCATGCAATTTTAACAAAGAACAGCAGTTCTGAAACTACCTATAAGTGAAATGGTTTAAGCGGCAAAGCACACATCTGCTACAGTAAACATTTAATATATTCTGAAATACAATCGAATATGTCTATAACAATGATGAATAACAATAGAACGCAGTCTGTCAAAGTGCTGGATAATTGTTATTTATAGCACAACCTCTGGTCTCTATTTAGAGCCTATTTGCACATCCTCCACACAATACCTTTTCCAAAAGATATTTCATCTAAATAAACCCAACCATCCCCTTTAGTGCCATATTGTTTAACCACTAACTCTGTTAGCTAAATGTTTTTAGACTGATATGAATGTAGCAAATCAAGAAGCAGGATTCTTTTTATTTAGTGGGATATACTAGTATTTAGGTCAACTATAGTAAATCAAGTCCTCGTATAAAGAAAAATTGAGGTTCTGTCCCAATTAAGAATGAGTGACTATTCTGGAAGGGCGAAAGTGGGAGGAAGTTTAAATAATAATAGTGTGTGCCAATAAACTTGGCATTTTATTCATCGAATCTGCTCCATGCCTCATGCCAGTCCCACGATGTCTAGAACAGAGACTTATGTTGGCATGCTGCCTGCTTTAAAAACCTGTTCATACTTGATGAAGCAGATGTACCTGAATGGAAACATCAATGTGTCTGTAACAATGTGTTCAGGGAATTCAGCCTTGAATATTGTTTTATATGAGAATGTCAAAGAATTGGCACTAAGCATTCGTTAAAAATAGTCAGTTGGACATAGCTGAAGGTGTCACATGGTTATGAGAGTTTCCGTATAACAGAGAAATTTCTTTAAAAGCTGCCCAAAAGTCTTAAAAGCAAGAATACTCAGAAGGTCAATACATGTCGTATAACTTAGATATCAAATCGGATTTGTTGAACCAAGACCGACCCTATTGGTTTGAAAAAGGACTAAAATTTGCTTTGTCTTGGCTCCTCTTATCATGCTTATATAATTAGCCATGTTCTGTTAGCTAATTAGCTGCAATTTACTTTCTTCTTGTTGCTATGGTGAAAGAACTGAGGTAAGAAAAAAAAGAAAAAGAATTGTGATATTGGATTGATGCCTAGTTCTCTGTGTGTAGTGTCAGTGGCAATGAAATCTGTGGTTCTACCCTCTGGCCAATTTTCGCTAAATGAAAAACTAAAAACCATGTACTTACGTAGACCATTAGTACAGATTTGAAGTCTTAATATCTTTGACCGTCTGCTTTGCAAATGTACTTCCATTTCCAGTTCCATTCACCAATCTTGTATGTTTCTTACAGCCTCTTAAGGATATTGACCTGATCTGAGCTATTATTTCCCTTTTATCCCTGCCTGACAGGTTTCCATAACAGCCTACCCTTTTCTCTTTGTGTGCGAATCTCTCAACTCTTTTTGTTCATTGGGTACATCTAATGGAAATCTGTTTCACTCTCTCTCAGTTGCCTGCAGAGTTTCAGGAGCGTGTGAGCTTGCACATGGAGGGTTCTTCCCTCTGCCACTCCCCATATGCCGACACAGTGCCTGCCTCTGTCATTGCTAAGGTCCTGGAGAAACCAGATGAGGTCTGCAGCCGTCAAGCCTCTCGCTCACCTAGCCCACAACCCCAGGAACGCCAGGGCTTCCTCGTGGGCACCAGCCTTGTGGGTAGCACTGAGCGCCTCGGCCTCCGAGCTACTTACAAGTCAGATCTGTACAGCAGTGACACCGCACTTTATTGCCCTGACGAACGGAGACGAGAGCGCAGACCCAGCATGGACCTCCATGGACAGCGGAAGGTTTATGAACCCCAGAACTCCACTGATAGCAACCCAGAAGAGGGATCCATGGCACTGCAGCCTGGCTTCTCGCAGGACCACTTCAGGAAGTTTACAACCTCTCTGGGAGGCGGCTCCAGCTCTTACTCCAGCTTTAGTGCAGGAGGGTCCGAAGACAAGGGTCAGGATCCTCCGAGCAGTGCTGCATCTTCTCCTCGCCACCCTGCCCTTTACATGGAATGGAGGGATGGGGCTGAATACGAGCACAAAAGCGACTCTTCCTGGGAGAGGGAGAGTCCAAGCGCCTTCACAAAGGCCCATGCTTTCCAACCACCTGAGACAAGCCACCATCAGAATGGTAGCTCACCTATCTACAGCAGAACAATGTCCTCCTGTTACAGTGAACCTTACGAGCCCTTGCCAACTTCCACTTCACCCAGCATCACCTATGGTGACAGTCGCCGTGGAAGTGCTTTTGCTCCTGAGGAAGAAGAGCTGATTGGTCGGTGGAGGCAATTGAGTGTGGAGGATCTGAGTGCGCACTCATACCGCAGTCCCGGGCGGGCCTCACCTTACAGCTTCTCTGAGCAGCACTTCTCTGTCCGGCCTGCAAAAATTCGCCTTGGTCCTCTCTACAGTAGCTTCCAGGAGGGTACTGATGTATACCACCATCATGCTGGGGTACTAGACCCCTTCTCCAGCCCCAGCCCTGATTGCAGCCCAGGCCTACGGCAGCAGCAAAGCCAGCCTCACCTGTACCACTCCAAGGAGGATAGCCAAGAGTCTGAGCAAAGCCTCTACAGCCCCAAGGACGGTGTGGTGGCAGCTGGGGGACAGGCAACAGAGTACGTTGACGTAAGTCCCAACAGTTCAAATGAGTCACTGGACCATGGATCTCTGGAAATGGCTGCAGAGCTGCAGCATTATCAACCCGAGAGGCACAGCGTGTCCCCTCAGGGAACCACCCCACCACCTCCTCCACAACAACCGTACCAAAAATTTGGCACACTAGGGCTGTCACGCAAGGACAGTCTCACCAAGGCACAGCTCTACGGTACTCTACTAAACTAAGAGTAGGGTTTCCTGGTTAATCCTCTTTTATAGCTCTGTGGGACTCTACTAAAGTAAGAGCAGGGTATCCCGGTTACCTGCTTTTGTCAGTAGGATTCGAATGTTAAGCTACAGTTTGAGCCAAACACATGATGGGATTTTCTGTTGAATATTTTCAGTCCATCTGCTTTTTTCTCTCTATTTTTCTCTCTATTTATGTATCTTTTACAGTGTTTTCTAAACATCGAACATAACCGGCTCATGTTTCTACAGTTGATATGAAGCTCTAGCCTAACACTCAGCACTATTTGTATAGCCTATTTTGAAAGTTTATTAATGGTTCTGTGTGGTTTGTGAGAAAGTATTTTAAGTGCATTAGGTGCATTATGGATTTTTGGAAACTTGTCTTCAGAGAGATTATCTTCTTTGTTTTACCAAAAGCCTTCTGGGCTCAAAAAGGGTTTGTGAATGGACAGCACATGCTTTGTAAAAAGAAATGCTAATTTTGACAAGAAATTCGATCTTTTATTATATAATTTATGAATAGCTGTATTTATTAAGTATGCTATATCTATAATTGTTTAATAAATGTAACACTATGGAGAGATTGAACAATCTATATAATTGTAAATTATTTTTATTGCTATAAATAAGGCAATCGGCACAATTATACACGCTGCAAACAATTAAAAATGCCTCAAACGAGTTAAGTCATAAAAACAATTTGAGAATTAACTGACGGATATTGACGGATCGTTTCACAGATTTGTGAACAATACTTTGTGAAAATAATTTTGAGAATAACTCAGCATGGAATCATAATACCCCTAAGTCAGCCCGTCAAGATTAAGTCTCAACCAAAGAGATACTTCTAATCAGAGCCGGATTAACGCAAAGGCAAACTAGGCACGTGCCTAGGGCCCGATTGGCGGGATGGGGCCCAGACAGAGGGACAAAAAAAAAAAAAAAAAAAATGTACCTACAAATGTCCTATCTACAATTTATTTAAATATTTATTAATTAACTAAAAATAGTGACGATGTTTATCTTAACCATAGACTGTTACATTACGTCACATTAACGCCAGCCCATCAGGTGCTGCGAAGCAAAAGCCTAAATAAGCACGCAAAGAAGCACAGCTCGTAATGCAGGTGTGTGCGTTGTCGTCATCTATTTTGGAGTGATTGATTGCAATGTATTCTAAATATAAACTTGTACTGTAGATCTGCGTCATTTCTGGAAAAACCATTCACCGCTTTATTACGAGTTTAAAAGAGCGCGGGCGTCATTAACGTGCCCAGACGCGACGCTTTGAATTTGCGCGTACAATGAATAACATCGCGTCGGGAGCTGACTAAAAACGCTACAAAAGTAAAAGACAAGACGTTTGTATTCAAAGTTAAAAAGCCAACACACTACAACATTTTTAAATGTTTCAAATAAAGGATCTCGGGTCTATCTTCTAAATTCTGCTGATGATTAGATTATAGGGCTACCCTGTCTGACATCAGCCTACTTACGCCAATAATATCAGTTTAGAATTTCTTTTTCTAATCAGTAGCGACCGTGTCTTTCTCTTCCACTTGATTTGTGTATAGCAATTTAAGCAAGCAATGCAATGCATAATATCATATTACTTATATTAATAATATGACAATATCTGCAGTCAATATTGATTAAATGGGAGGGGAAAATCCTGGCCATACCAGCTATGAAAAAAATGATAAAAGCATATATCACTGAAGTGGTATTCTGGAACTGTGAATAAATTGAATAAAACAGCAAAATAACAATAACAATAAAATCTTCATTAAACAAAAAAGAGATTACCTTAGATGAAGTTTGATTAATATGTACATACAGTAGGCTACTGGTAAAAAGTCTGGACAGATTACTATTTTTAATGTTTTTGAAATAAGTTTTTTATTATGCTCTACAAGCCTGCATTTATTTGATCAAAAAAACAAAAAACAAAACAAAAAAAAACAGGAATATTCAGCAAGGATGTGTTAAATATATAAAAAGTGATAGTGAAGACAAAAAAAAACAAAAAACTTTTTAATAATAAAAAAAACCCTGAAAAAAAGTATCACAGGTTATAAAATAAATATTAAGCACCATTTCTAACATTTGATAATAAATCTGAATATTATAAAGTTTTCTGAAGGATCACATGACACTAAATTCAGCTTTGCATCACAGAAATATATTTTGAAGTATAGTAAAATAGGAAAACCATTATTTTAAATTTTTAATAATATTTCACTATATATTATTTTTCTGTATTTTTGATCAAATAAATCCAGGCTTGATGAGCGCAAGAGACTTCTTTCAAAAACATTAAAAATAGTAATGTGTCCAAACGTATGTACTGTGTAAGTAAAAACATTTAAAATTAAATGTTGTATAAATTAAAAGGTTAGGAATCATATATGTTTTAAGAGTTTTTTATTGGGGATGGGGGGGCCTCCAACATGAATATTGCCTAGGGCCTCCAAATGTCTAGAACCGGCCCTGCTTCTAATCTATTTCTATTCCAAATAGATCTGATACTACTCAAATCTATTGCTTCATCAAGTGAGTAAAATATCTTGAAAGCACTGGGCATTTTTTTTTTTTAACTCCTGATGTGTTTTGTTGGGCAATGGAATTTCTGAGGTGATAGTCCTTTTTGCTGTTTTCTCTCCTTTCTTCCTCAGTGCTGTAAGCCCCCTCCCTCAAGCCCTCTCTACCTCACGATTCAATCCCTCTCTTCTTTCTTAATCAGCTGGGATCCTGTGTCAGTTGACACAATGATGCATGACTCTGTTTCTTCTGTTTTGCTTTCTATATCTAATAAAGCACAATAGTTGCACCATGTCTGCCTCTTTAACTCCCTTTTGTTTCCTGCTCTGCTCCTGTCGGAGAGTGAGGCTGCTGCTGAGGTGTATTGGGGAGAATTTATAACTTCGAGTTCTGTTTCATACATGAAATGTTTCCTTGTACAGTGTGAATGACAGCATACAAAGGAAGGACCTTGGTCCTCCTCCACAAACGACCAACTACTTTTGCAGCATTGAATTTATTCAGTCTTTACAGTATAACAGAAGCACTGCATTTACACTCAAAACATTCATGTTAGTGTGTATGATTAAGGACTGTAGCCAGTAAACTCCCTACAGCTCCACGGTGAATGAAATTGATCTAATAATGGCTAATGCACAGCAGTATATAGCGGAGGTAATGAAGTTTAAACAGCCATTACTCTGGTTCACTTTTTTATTTGAGTAGTGACACCACCCTACAGTCTCTGCAGAGCCACAGCCTACGCATTTCCTTTTTTATTCCGTTTGGACACTGGGATGTCACAAACATTTTCAAATATATCTTGAAATAAGTCACAGGGTGGGAGTTGCCGGGTATACTATACAGCATAATGAAAAGATTATATTCAGAGAGGCTAAAGTGTCGCTATTTCACTTCATAAACGAATGAGTCTGTAAAATTAATTGCAGAACAACATTCAAACATCTTTAATCTATGTCGAGAGATATGCAATAAGTGTTCATGTTATTCTGTATTCATCTTATCTCTGAGCCATATGTTTCTTGGGCACGTTGCTCCTGTCATTTGTATTCAAGGGATATGTTGGACTCGATACTTTCAGGCTCTCATTCACAGAGAAGAGTGAGTCACAAGCCGGAGGCCATCTCTGAAAACACTGCAGCAAAGATATGGGGAACAGATGGACATTTTAATTTCCTGTCTCTTATCCAGCAAGTCCCTCAGGTACTTGGCCAAAAACACACCCCAAAAAAATCCATTGCACTAATGTTCGAGGTTTGAAATTGCCACATTTATGAAAGGCAGTTCTGCTTCTTCCCTTCACCTTCAAAGGCCCACCATGCTTTCACTCAGGCCCCACAGCCGCTTGGCTGTATGGTCATCTGTGGCTTTGGAAAGCAATTGTTCTTCTTTGCAATTAGCAAAGCATTTTCCAGACACACCTTCAACTTCAGGCGAGCATGCCAGGTATAGTGGGGTCTGAGCACCCTCCAGTGGGCTTTTGAAGAACAACCAAGAGACCAGGAAGAAAAGAGGCTTAATCAGCAGGGGTATGTTGACGTGTCGGCCCAATCTGGTCCTCACGATACCCGGAGTGAGGGCATTTACAGTGATCCCAGTACCATCCAGCTTGCTGGCCAGCTCACGAGTGAAAAGTAGGTTGGCAAGCTTGCTCTGGCTGTAGCAAAAAGCCTTGTTGTAATTATCTTCACTGTTCAAGTCCTCGAAGTTGATGCTGCCATACTTGTAGAGTTTGGAGGAAACCACAACGATACGGCTGGGAGCCGACTGCTTCAGGAGGTCAAGCAGGAGATGGGTCAGAAGGAAGTGACCTAGGTGGTTTACTCCCAGCTGCATTTCATAACCCTCTTCTGTCCTACTGTAGGGACACTGGTAGAGACCAGCGTTGTTGACAAGAACATCAATCCTTGGCTCCTCCTAATATTGTAACACAATCAGGTTTAGAAATTTTAGTTCATACACATCCAATCACACTTTATTAATATTGCACCTTCTGTATAAATGCAATAGAGAAAATAAACATTTGAAAAATGATTAATACATAGCTGTTTACCTTGGTTGAAATTTAAAAATACTGACAGATTGTGATACCCTTAAGTTCTCCGGCAGACTGTTTCTGAGGCAAGAATCAAGGACGGTGAAAACAATAACCTCAAGGAGGCTGCCTGAGGACTACAGGGATCAACTTGGGACGGTGGCACATCTAAGGCCCTGTTTACACCTGGTATCAAGATGCGTTTTGGTCGATCAGATCTCAAGTAGATGAGGGAGACATACCCATTCACACCTGGTGTTTTAATCTGTCTCTTTTGTCCTCTTTCAATCACTTATGTCCTGATTTCTTGAAAGGGAAGGTCTATGGGCGGATAAATGTATGAACCTTTTTCAGCTCTTTCGATCTAATGGACAAAATAAGCTAGGGCAAATTTACATATGAACACAACTGGGGAAGACAGAAAAACATACGGAGAGCAGTATCTTTAGTTTCTGCTTTGACAGCCGCTAAGATGACGCCATATGCTGTGAATGCGTGTTCATGCATTAGGTCAGTTGGCGGAGAGTAGGTGGACTTTTGCAGATGTTTGAACGCATTTGATCACATGAGCGTCTAGTACACTACGAAAGCAATCCGAAAGCAATGCGTTTTTGACTACCTCTGGAATAGGGCTGGGCGATAAAACGATAACGATAATTATCGCGATATAATTTTTCTCGATAAAACGATATCAAGAGGTCGATAAATGTTCGATAATGTGTATGCGCCAAAAGCGGAACGAAACTCATTTGAACCGCGCGCCACACGGACCGTTTATCCGCTCGGCTCAAAGTCCAAATGGCAGCGCGAGCTCACTAGAGCAGACGCGTTTACTCTGATCGGCTCGCTCACGAGATCCAGTGAGAAGCGCTTGAGTTCAGCGAAGAACACAAATGTCCAGTTTAAATCAGTTTAAAGGAAGATGAAACACCGCTGACAAACAGGAGAAACACTGTGCGCAACGATACAGTCAGAATCTGAATTGATACTGAATCTGTTTAGCCTACCATGGATTTACTGTAACGTTAGCCTAGTAATATTAACTGCACCATGACATGTGGGATATACATATTGAATTGTAAAATATTATTAATGTAGACAATGTATTAAATGACTAATGGAATATAATTACAGTATTTAATAATGTATTTAACTGTTAGGCTACTGTTTTTCATACAAATACCTAATACCATAGAAACAATAAAGTTACATTTTGCCATGATAGTGAGGTGCTATAGGTTATGCCTGGCTTTATCTGTGGCTATCATGATCTAAATGCATGATACTGGATGACCAATGGTTAATTTTAATAAAACTCAAACAGTTAGAATATTACATTTTACCAAATAAAAATGTGGTCCTTAAATAAAAAAAAAAAATAGATGTTACTGTTTTTGTTAATGAACATAAATTTAACATAGTAGCATTAGCTTGAGTTAGATGTAGATTTACTGTCAACTCACTGTCAAATATGCATTTCGAGACAAAACATGTAATTTGAATATTGCAGCCTGCACTGCAAACTGCTGAAGAAATATTTTTCTTTTCAGATATTTATTTTGTTAAGGAAAAATGACAAATGTTTGAATGTTCTACCTCAGATTTTTAAAACCACAACGCTCTGGTTTATACAACTTTCACTTAGGAGCAAAAATCTGCCTTTAAACTTGAAAGAAATAAAGATTTGACATTTATCGTGATAATTATCGTTATCGACTGATATAAAAAAAATATTGTGATAAATTTTTTGGGCCATATCGCCCAGCCCTACTCTGGAAGTGGTCCAAAGTGGACAAGCTCAAAACGTTTTAGACCCAATTTACACTTGTATTTAGCGTCGTCCACTTGTGATCCGATCAACGAAAATGCATCTTAAAACCAGGTGTAAACAGGGCCTAAGAGGGAAAATGCTATTCTATTTTCAGAATTTTGCGTATCGAGGCATTTACGCACTGCAGAACATGTAATTAGAATAGCTTTATTTAAATATCTTAATAAATGCACATGCTTTAAAGGGGTCATGAATTGAGAAATCAAACTTTCCTTGATCTTTTGACATATAAGAGGATATTGTACAATAAAAATATCCTATAAGTTTCAAATCTCAGAACTTCCTTGTTAGTCCAAAAACAGCTTTTATTGAAACAAAGCTCCCAAAACGACTCGTTTTGTATTTTGTCTCAGTCTGAAATCAAAGTGCGATGAAAGACCGCCTCTGCAGATCAATGCCTACTTCTACATCATTGCTTTTTTTTAGCCCCACCCACCAATTAATGGACATCATGTCATGATGTCACAGGATCGAGCAAAAAAACGATAGAGATGCCTATGAGGATTACAAGACATTTTGAAGTGCCTTCCTTGAAGTGCCTTTTAATATGCAAAGCTGCTATCCAATCACATCAGTGGGCATTTACTTCCAAGTCTTGAAAGCAGCACGCCTATCAAAGAGAGGGTCAAAAACAGGATAAAAAAAATAGCCTATTACTTCTAAATTAGGATGTTTTTTATGTAAAATTATAAGTGGACCTCAGAGAACATTTAAAAGAAAGAAAAAAAAAAGAGACCCCTTTAATAAACCTACATACACAGGACATCAGGGCTAGTTATTACATTAACTGACTCAAAACCTTTTAGATGACATACAGGATACAAAGTAAAACCATGCTGCCATGCTTTATATCAAATAGGTCACATTTGTTTTATGTCATAATTTCATGTAATTCATTAATTACATTTTCTGTTGGCCAAAATAATGGTTTGACAATTTAATGCATTTCATGTTATTTTTTTGTTGTTAAATTTCACTGAAAACTATCAAACTTTAAATTGTGTAAACCTAAGCACATTTAATGTGACTTCCTTCTCAATCAGGGTAGGCCTCCATAAAGTGTCAATAAAATGTAGAAATATGTTTTTTTTTCATAGCCAATTATGGTGGACATATTAAACTAACCAAGGTGTCATTTATGAAGACACAATTGATCAAGGTAACAGGATACCACAGTTACTATGATGCTGATATTTTATCATACTAATATGTGATAATAATAATTATGAAATCCCTTTAATATGTCCTTTAATAATTATTAAGCAGCAATGATGATAGTGGTCGTTAATACGACAGTTTAATTGTGCTATTAATTGTAGTAACAATTGTAGTGATACATAATTTTTCACATCATATTTCAGAACACTGGATAGCTCATTTCAACACACACGCTCACTGCTTGACCTTTACTTACACAACATGTAAGTTAAACGTTAGCACTCCTCATGGTCGATATGGACTAATTCAGCCATTTGCTCAATATATTTTGCACGGTTTGTGCTATTTCTGCGTTAATTAATAATTCATGGTGCAGTAGCCTATATTTAATGTCAAAGCAACACAGTTTCAGGGACTGAAAGAGAAGGCGAAAAATGTAAACAAACCCTGATAACTTCCTCGCAGAAGCTGCGCACAGAATGGAGCGACGCGAGGTCCAAGTGTTTGATCACGATCTCTCCCTGATTCGGACCGGCCTGATTCTTGATGTCCTGGGCCGCCTCCTCAGCCCTCTGCCTGTCCCGACAGGCCATGATCACACGGGCCTGCAGCTTCAGCAGCTCCGCTGCCGTCGCCTTCCCGATGCCGCAGTTCGCCCCGGTAACTATCACGGTCTTTCCGCGCATCAGAGCCGTAGGGTAACTCAGTAATTTCATTGCTTTCCGCCTGAAGAAAATTTTCCGGGCAATGAAGAGAACCCCACCGCCGAGGACAGCGGCTAAAACGACCGCTGCCGACATCAGTGCAGTGCAAGAATACCAAAGTGTTGAATGACAGCGTGTACGAGTGAGAGCCGTGGACCACATTACCCAGAATACACTGCTTTGTTATGGTTGAAAATATATTCCCTTTTTTGGAGGGGTTGACGGTTCAAGCCTAGTAGTTTTACACGGCATTGGCTACAGCATGAGTATACCTAAAGTTATAATCTTTTAAATTTATAATCTAATTATAATTTTAAATTTTAGATAGTTTATTTAAAAAAAAAAATCATTTAACATTTATTTGTTTGTTTGTTTGCAGCAGTGAAAATCCATCTATTCACACTCCAAACCGCTTATATTTTTATGTATAATCGCGGGGATTGATGTACAAATATTCAAATGAAATTTGACAACATTCAACATGCTGTAAAATACATTAAAGTTTGTTTTAGACCTGTCAAGCCCAAGTACATTTTGGTTACGAATGTCATGGGATTAAATCTTTTTTAGATATTTATAGCACTCATTTGGTTTGTTTTAGCCTTCAATATGACTTGTGGCAGATCTTATAGGCTATTTTCTGTGCAAACATGGATATTATGTATTATATTATAACAACATATTCATTATAACAGCATCTTTTCCCATCCAAAATTGCCACAAAATGTGTAATTTCTACCCAATTTTAAGAGTTGGTTTTTCTTTTCTTTTTCTTTCTTTCTTTCTTTCTTTCTTTCTTTCTTTCTTTCTTTCTTTCTTTCTTTCTTTCTTTCTTTCTTTCTTTCTTTCTTTCTTTCTGTGAAAAAGTGGAATGAAACAAAACAACTCAATACACTTAACAATATTTTTTAATTACAAATACAAATATTTGTTTAATACATTAACATATCTTAAGTGCAAAGTTTGTGTCAGTAATGTATAATAAATAAGTGTGCTAAAATGCTACACAACCAATCATATGTATTAATGACAAAAACATTTTATTCTAAACTAAATGTTGTTGTTATCTGTAATTTAACGTCACAGACCCCAAAACAAACTCAATATATTTATCTACTACATTCTTAAAAATATATATAAAAAAACATACATAAATACAGCAAAAAGGCTAAACACATATTTCTGTTAGTAATTAGTAATACTAGCTCATTTTGAGTAGAATTAGTATGTAAGTGGCACTCTGTAGATTAACAAGATCAGTGCAGATTCAAGAAAGAGAGGAAGATTCAAAGGAAGCAGACGAAAGGCTTCAATCTAAGGTTGCTAATACTGCTGGTGTGCTCGTGGTTCTTAGGACTGGCTTTCAGTGTTTGGGTCCTCGTATATGTAACTGCCAACACCTCCGGTATTAACTCCTGAACAAAAACAAGGAGAAAACATCATGCTCATATCATGATGAGCATATATATATATATATATATATATATATATATATATAATTGATATAAATAAAATTAAATTGGGAAATGTACCTTTTGGCCCAAAGAGAACAGCATAACAGGGTTTATGGCAGTAGGGCTGGCCATCGTGCTGTAGTTTAAAACAGAACCCATGCACACTATTAAATAATATTTGTTTTCACATGTCATTTCAGTTTAAACCCGAGCTGCACCTTTATGGTATTACAAAGCACTGAGACATATACACTTCCACGCAACCCATACAGATTTTAATCTGACCAAATTAAATTTCAAATATATGCTGAATATAAACAGCATGGTGCAGGGAAATATGTTTTTCAAATTTAAAATATATTCAAGTAAAACCTAAAAATGCTTATGTACAGGTCCTTCTCAAAAAATTTGCATATTGTGATAAAGTTCAGTATTTTCCATAATGTAATGATAAAAATTAAACTTTCATATATTTTAGATTCATTGCACACCAACTGAAATATTTCAGGTCTTTTATTGTTTTAATACTGATTATTTTGGCATACAGCTCATGAAAACCCAAAATTCCTGTCTCAAAAAATTAGCATATCATGAAAAGGGTCTCTAAACAAGCTATTAACCTCTGAATCAACTAATTAACTCTAAACACCTGCAAAAGATTCCTGAGGCTTTTAAAAACTCTCAGCCTGTTTCATTACTCAAAACCGCAATCATGGGTAAGACTGCCGACCTGACTGCTGTCCAGAAGGCCATCATTGACACCCTCACGCAAGAGGGTAAGACACAGAAAGAAATTTCTGAACAAATAGGCTGTTCCCAGAGTGCTGTATCAAGGCACCTCAGTGGGAAGTCTGTGGGAAGGAAAAAGTGTGGCAAAAAACGCTGCACAACGAGAAGAGGTGACCGGACCCTGAGGAAGATTGTGGAGAAGGACCGATTCCAGACCTTGGGGGACCTGCGGAAGCAGTGGACTGAGTCTGGAGTAGAAACATCCAGAGACACCGTGCACAGGCGTGTGCAGGAAATGGGCTACAGGTGCCGCATTCCCCAGGTCAAGCCACTTTTGAACCAGAAACAGCGGCAGAAGCGCCTGACCTGGGCCACAGAGAAGCAGCACTGGACTGTTGCTCAGTTTTGCATGTCATTCGGAAATCAAGGTGCCAGAGTCTGGAGGAAGACTAGGGAGAAGGAAATGCCAAAATGCCTGAAGTCCAGTGTCAAGTACCCACAGTCAGTGATGGTCTGGGGTGCCATGTCAGCTGCTGGTGTTGGTGCACTGTGTTTTATCAAGGGCAGGGTCAATGCAGCTAGCTATCAGGAGATTTTGGAGCACTTCATGCTTCCATCTGCTGAAAAGCTTTATGGAGATGAAGATTTCATTTTTCAGCACGACCTGGCACCTGCTCACAGTGCCAAAACCACTGGTAAATAGTTTACTGACCATGGTATTACTGTGCTCATTTGGCCTGCCAACTCTCCTGACCTGAACCCCGTAGAGAATCTGTGGGATATTGTGAAGAGAAAGTTGAGAGACGCAAGACCCAACACTCTGGATGAGCTTAAGGCCGCTATCGAAGCATCCTGGGCCTCCATAACACCTCAGCAGTGCCACAGGCTGATTGCCTCCATGCCACGCCGCATTGAAGCAGTCATTTCTGAAAAAGGATTCCCGACCAAGTATTGACTATTGAGTGCATAACTGAACATAATTATTTGAAGTTTGACTTTTTTTTTTTGTATTAAAAACACTTCTTTTATTGGTCGGATGAAATATGCTAATTTTTTGAGACAGGAATTTTGGGTTTTCATGAGCTGTATGCCAAAATCATCAGTATTAAAACAATAAAAGACCTGAAATACCCGTCGCGGAAAACCCGATGTTGCGCCGCGTTATCGACCAGGCAGAACAATCCTTCCAATCACTATAGATAGATTCTCAAATAGCTTACCTGATCTATCTCAGCTGCTCAGTGAACCCAAACAAACAGATGAACTAGAGGAAATGACCAGCAGTTTGAGCACCATTTTCTCTAGTACATTAGATATTGTTGCACCAATTAGATTGAAAAAGGTTAGAGAGAAAACTAAAGCACCATGGTACAATAGTACTACACATGCTATCAAGAGAGAAACTCGTAACTTAGAGCGTAAATGGAAACAAACTAATTTAGAGGTCTTTAGAATCGCGTGGAAAGACAGTGTGTCACGTTATAAAAAGGCTCTAAAAGCAGCCAGGGCAGAGCATCTCCGCAAACTAATAGAAAATAACCAAAATAATCCAAGGTTTTTATTTAACACCGTGGCTAGACTAACAAATAAACAGACATCACCAGAGCAAAATATTCCGTTACAGTATAGTTGTAATGATTTTATGAATTACTTCAATGAGAAAATAGAAAGCATCCGAAATACAATTGTAAATGTACAATCCTCTATGGTGTCTTGTGATTCAGCCTCAATTATCGTCCCTCAAGAACAACTACACCGCTTTACAACTGTAGGACAGGAAGAGCTAAATAAACTTATCATTGCATCTAAACCAACAACATGTTTATTAGATCCAATACCCACTAAACTTCTGAAAGAAGTGTTACCTGTAGTGGAAGAGCCTCTTCTTAATATTATTAACTCGTCTTTATTTTTAGGTCATGTTCCAAAAATATTCAAGCTGGCAGTAATAAAACCTCTTATTAAGAAACCGCAATTAGATCAAAATAACTTAGCAAATTACAGACCCATTTCAAATCTTCCATTTATGTCTAAAATACTAGAAAAAATTGTGTCCGCTCAATTGTGTTCTTTCTTGCAAGAAAATGAGATATATGAAAAATTTCAGTCAGGATTCAGACCGCATCATAGCACAGAAACTGCGCTAGTTAAAATTACAAATGATTTACTTTTAGCTTCTGATCAAGGCTGTATCTCAATACTAGTTCTACTCGATCTTAGCGCTGCGTTCGACACTATAGATCATAAAATACTCCTGGATCGACTACAAAACTACACTGGTGTTCAGGGACAGGCATTAAGCTGGTTCAGATCGTACTTATCGGACCGTTACCATTTTGTCTGTTTAAATGGGGAAAAATCGAAGATAACGTCAGTAGACTATGGAGTGCCGCAAGGATCGGTGTTAGGCCCTCTGCTATTCTCAATATATATGCTGCCACTTGGTAATATTATAAGAAAACATGGAATTAATTTCCACTGCTATGCTGATGACACTCAATTATATATTTCATCACGACCAGATGAATACACTAACTTATCTAAATTGACAGAATGTCTTAAAGATATAAAATGCTGGATGACGTGTAATTTCCTGCTACTAAATCCAGATAAAACTGAGGTATTACTTATTGGTCCAAAAAACTACCCACAAAATCTCTTACAATACAACTTTAATATAGAAGGATGTCCTGTTACCTTATCGACTACAGTAAAAGACCTGGGTGTTATACTAGACCGCAACTTGTCTTTCGAAAATCATATTTCGTATGTTACAAGAACAGCCTTTTTCCACCTTAGAAACATTGCTAAATTACGTAACATGCTATCTGTTTCTGATGCAGAAAAGTTAGTTCATGCATTCATGACCTCGAGACTAGATTATTGTAATGCTTTATTAGCTGGTTGTCCTGCATCTTCAATAAACAAGCTACAGTTAGTCCAAAATGCAGCCGCTAGAGTTCTTACTAGGTCAAGAAAATATGATCATATAACACCGATTCTATCATCTCTGCACTGGTTACCTATCAAGTTCCGTATCAATTACAAAGTACTACTACTGACCTATAAAGCCCTAAATGGTTTAGCTCCTGTGTATTTAATGGACCTTCTATCGCCCTACAATCCATCGCGTTCTTTAAGATCCCGAAATTCGAGGCTTCTGGTCATTCCTAGGATATCTAAGTCCACTAAAGGAGGGAGGGCGTTCTCACATTTAGCTCCTAAACTCTGGAATAGCCTTCCTGATACTGTTCGTGGCTCAGACTCGCTCTCCCAGTTCAAAACTAGATTAAAGACGCATCTCTTCAGCCAAGCATTCACATAATGCTTACCTTTTATACCACTGTTGAATCAGATCGACTGCATTAATATTATGAACAGCAGCTACGCTAATAATTTCCCATCTGCTTTTCTGCTGTTATCTCGGGACGCTAGTCCCGAGGTAAATAGCGTTCGTCAGCTCCAGTTTGTATCCAGCCTCTCACGGAGACTTCAGACGCTCCAACACCTGCGATGAGACGACTCGACGCCTATGAAGAGACGACTCGACGCCTGTGAAGAGACGACTCAACGCCGGCGATATGTTATGCCCTAAATTAATACATGATGATTAACTAACTATATTATTCTATGTACATTTCTGAAATGCACTTTCTGTAAAGCTGCTTTGAAACAATATGTATTGTGAAAAGCGCTATACAAATAAATTTGAATTGAATTGAATTGAAATATTTCAGTTGGTGTGCAATGAATCTAAAATATATGAAAGTTTAATTTTTATCATTACATTATGGAAAATAATGAACTTTATCACAATATGCTAATTTTTGAGAAGGACCTGTATATATATATTGCACAATATAAAATTGTTATTAATGTTTTTCCTTCATCACTGCATCTGGCTCAAATTCACAATCTCAACCATATTCACAAAACAATCATTTCCAATGTCTTCAAAATCAATATTTTCATCACTGACAGCTTCTTCATCAGATCCACCATCAAGTGACAGTAACACTAATATTTGATTGTGTTCAGTACTTGCTCTTCAGTAAATCAGTGATCACTGAGCCATTTCAAGTTTTGCTGATGATACTTCCTATTCTTTTGTTTTCTGCCTGCAGTAACTATGAGTGAAGCGTCACTTCATCACTGTGTATCAGACATTGCCACCATGTGCAATAAAGGTGAATTGCACTTATTCAGTCATCAAAGATTCAAGTATTGTTGCGCAGAAAAAAATATATACTTACACTATTACACACCTCGGGTCACTAGCGACCCTATACACTTTTTTTTACAGAAAATTATATAAAAAAAAGAAAACAGACGTTCTTTTATAATTGTATTTATTTAGATTGTTTATAATAGGTTGTTGAATACTAAGAAGGCTGATGTCTAACTTTAAAAAATGAATGACAGGAAGGGTAGTGAATGACATCCCTGGTCGATAAAGACCTGAGGTATACGTTTAAAGGGATAGTTCAGCCAAAAATTAAAAAAATCAGCCCATGATTTACTCACCCTCAATTAATCCTAGGTGTATATGACATTATTCTTTCAGACGAATACAATCGGTTATATTAAAAAATGTCCTGGCTCTTCCAAGGTTTATAATGGCAGTGAATGGCCGTTTTTGTTTTGAAGTCCATAAAAGTGCATCTATCCATCATAAACGAACTTCATTTTTTATATTACTCCAATTGTCTTCATCTGAAAGAAGAATGTCATATACACCTACTGTAGCATGACTTTAGGGTGAGTAAATCATGGGCTGATTGTCATTTTTGGGTGAACTATCCCTTTAAGAGTTAAAAGCACAGCAATAAAGCTGCAGTGTGTTTCTGTCGCTCACCTCTGCATGGCTGCCAGGAGCCAGAGTCTTCTTGCACCTCTCACAGCGCAGACAGGGTCTGTGCCAGTCTTTACCCAGGGAACAGACCTTTTCAGCTGAAACACACAGGAAACACAGGCCCTTCTGTAAGCATCAGTCGACCACAACAAAATGCTAATGTATGTCCTGGCACTGCTGAACACACATGTCCCTGCACAAATCCATTTTTGGTGAACTTTTATGTCTGAATGTCAGCGCTTACCAAAGTATACAGTTTTGTTGCACCTTGGGCAGATGTTCGGCTCACCAGAGAACGAACTGAAACTTGCAGCTGGAGGAAATTAGGTGAATAATTATTTTTATACATAGCATTAGTTTTTCCTATTTAAGACAATACAATACGGAATTCATTGTCACCACTGATATTATTCTAAAGAAACACAGTAGAAGTAGATTTCCCATGTAATGCTAGGGGATTATTGGAGTGTTCTTTAAGGCAAGTCACTACAGGCAAAAACATTTAGGCTTTTCATAACATGCTGTTTCAGACTAGTGGAAACATCTAAAAAATACACTTTTATAGGGATAGTTCACCCAAAAATGAAAATTCGGTCATTAATTACTGGATTAATAAAATGATTCACCATAAAAAAATAAAAAACCTATGAACTTAAGTTTCTGTATTATGATCTACAGTAGTACAACCAGTATTTCAGACAAACTCACCCTTCACTGGACCCCTGGTAGCCTTTTTCTCTTCAGCCTTGGGTTTGGTTTCCATGGCAACAGGGGCAGCATCATCGTTGACAGGTGCTTCATAGACATATGATCCCGCCCCACCAATATTCACACCTACAGGAAGAAGACAGTTGCTTCTTTTCTGATTCTGTTATATGGGAGGTTTTTAAACATTGCAAGAATTCAACATGGGCTTTAAAATCATGTAGTGTTAATCCATATCTCAAGATCAGAGATTTATAAGATTAACTGCTCCTGCTCTCTGTCTCATTAAAAAAACTGTAGCATCAAAGGAGAGAGTGTCCTACTTGCTGCAAGCCCCACAAATTATGAATAGTTGGAACCAAGACACTAATTAGATGTACTGTACCTTTTGGTCCATAGAGGGCAGCATAGCATGGCTTGTGGCAGTATGGTTTCCCATCATGCTGTTAACAGTGGAGAAAGCACATCACTGGGATTAATTAGGCATCCAGTTCCTGCCATCCTTGTCTGCTGTCATCAAAAATTAACACTCATGCTGTCCAAAGATTAGAGCATGAAATATTCTCAACATCGAAAGAGCAAACAACTGTACCGGCCCTTGTGAAAATTACATACTTATTACAGAAATAATATACTTTAAAAGAACATCCTTAAGTGCAAACTGAATGTTTTGGACACTTAACGGCATCTTATTTACAATTAAATGAACGTGTTATTGTTTGAATTTATATTAAATGCAATTAGTTTAAATTAATAGTGCTTTTTTGACCCACATAAGTAGGACTTAAGTACATCTTGGCATTTTCCCCAAGGAGGCAAGGGAGGCAGTGCCTCCTCAAAAAAATTATTGAGAAATTAATCCATATTACAAAAATAAAACAGCGGGTAAAGTTACAGTGGGACACTGCGTGTGTCTTGCCTCCCCTGAGCCCATTAACAGAGCCTCTAAAGCATGCGGTGGGTTTAGTGGGGGGTAATTGAGAATGAATGGGGAAAAGTCACGTGAGAGGAGGCAATGCCTCTATCACGTAATGATTGGTTATGGTTAGTTATGATTGGTTCACTTGATAAATCCCACCTCTTGTTTTCGTGCATGTTCCGTGTTAACGGATAAGTCTGACTGAGCAAAATTATGGTGTTAATGGGAAGACTAGGGGGAGACCGGGGATGGTTGTAACAAATTTGACCTTTCTGTCTATATCTTGTAGTACTTTGAAATCAGTGTGTTCAAAATGTGATCCAAACTATTTACAAGTGTCTGCTATTAAATGACATAGCTATTATCTTTGCAACACAAACAGAAAATGCATGGTTTAGTTTCAAACACGAGGAGTGAAATGTTACAATTCACCCCATAGTCTGGGTTAGTTGTAACATACCCTGGGGTGAGATGTAACATTATGATATCCACCGGGGTGATATGTAACATAATGAAATAAGGATTTTGACAAAAAAAAAATATTTTGAAAGGTTTTTATTCAACACTGACTTTTCAATATAACTGATGTGTGTGTGTCACTCTTAGTCTCAGTGTGTTTGTCACTCTCAGTCATAGTAATTGACCATTATAAATTGAACTTAAACACAAACATTGTTTGTAAGCATGTTTGTTACTGCCAGTGTTAGTATTGACCATAATAAAATTGAACACTTGAACATTGTGTGTGTGTGTGTGTGTGTGTGTGTGTGTGTGTGTGTGTGTGTGTGTGTGTGCGTGTGTGTGTGTGTGCGTGCGTGTGTGTGTGTGTGTGTGTGTGTGTGTGTGTGACTCTGTTGTTACTCTGTCATAGTAATTGACCATAATAAATTGAACTTGAACATTATATTTGTGTAAGCACGGTTGTCACTGTCAGTCTATAGTATTGGCCATAATAAAATTTTAATAAATTTGAATTCATTGTTGTTACAACTAACCCAGAGTCTTGTTGTTACAACTAACCCAGAGTCATGTCGCCATGTACTAGGTCACCTTACAGCTAACAGGCAAACAATTAGCACTAACAACTTGCATGGAAAATATCTACACAGACACACAATAAACATAATAAAAGTTTGATGAGTTTGACTACAAAGCAGAAATTCCCATAACAAAAACAAAAAAAGTAAAAAAAGTTACTTTCTTACCTCAAAATTGTTTTTTCAACTTTAACATGTGCTGTGTCTGCCACAGGGCTCTACTTTATCACATGTGGAATAAGAACTAAACTAAGCATGTGTGAAGTGAATCCGGTGATTTGTAACTAGTTCCTGATTGGACAGATTGGAATTGTTACAACTGACCCCTGTTACAACCATCCCCGGTCTCCCCATGGAAAAAGTAAGTAAACAGCTCAGCCACTGAGATATCACCCCTTCATGTCACGTCAAAATAAAAATTGAAATGGCTTGAAAACATGATGACTAAGGGGGTGAAAGTGGTGAAATTAAAGATACATCTTCGTGTCTGTGACAAACAGTGTTTACTGAGCATGACTGATGATCCAAAAATAAGTTGACTAGTAAAAAGAACTGCTAAACATCAGTTCGCAAAAAAACTATGTTGTTTAAATTGTTACTGCCATTAGTTATTATGGAATAAATGTAAAAATACTTAAAACACTAACTTGATGAGATTTATACTTGGTTTTAATAAATAGAACATTTATTACATTGTTAATGTAAAAAAAATTCAAAAAGATTTGTATTTTTTGTTATGTAACGTAAAGTGATATTTAACCAGTACAATGTGAATGAATGAATGATTTTTTTTTTTTATATATATATATGTATGTATAAAAACGGAGGACTTTGCCTCTTCATTTCAGAACACATGCACATCACTGATGTAATTTCATAATTCAATACAATTTCAATTCAGATTATCTGTAAGGCACATTTAAAATCAACCTTGTTTGGCCAAAGTGCTGTACATAAAAAAGAGAGAAGGAAAATAGGAGCAATAAACACATAAAAGTTACAAAAGATTAAAAGCACAGAAGAAAAGGACATGGATTTAGCCTGGTTAAAACCAGACCATTCTCAGTTGTAACTGAGTTATGGTCTGGCAAAGCGTCATAGACAAATCATTTCCAGAGGGGCGTCACCAACGGACGTCGCGGATAGACCTAAACCCAATCAGAGCGATGAAGGAGATGACGTATGCAGAGCGGTGGAGAAACATCTCCGAGTGTTGTTCTTTGCTCGGTTTTTAACAAAAAGGAAACGTTCAAATCGCTTAAAACAGACGCGATAGCTGATTCGAACGAGTGATGTTCGACGGCGGCATCCATCTTTGTAATGAAGGCTACAAAATCTGCTTCAAAATCCCAGCGCTGTCTTCATCGTGTAAAGCCCGCCCCAACGTTTCTGATTGGTGCCGCGATTTCGACGGATTAGAAATGGGTTTTGAATGAGCTCTTTGCCAGACTAACTTTGAGAGCAAATCTAAATTTGCCGGAAGTTGTCTGGGTTTTCCCAGGCTAACATGGATTTGGACATGGATCTGAACTTGGCTGACACAGGGAGCTGTTCTAACAGGTAGTGGTAGGTTGTTCCACAGCTTAAGGCCAGTCACTGCGAAGGCACTGGCTTCATCTGTGGGAGACAGGAGATGATGATTTCGTGATCTAAGTGATCTGGATGAGTTGTGAGTAACAATTAAGCTGGGAAGGTATTTAGGGGCTAGATTGTTGAGAGTTTTGTAAACAAATAATAGAATTGTAAAATCAATTCGGTATCGGACTTGCAGCCAGTGCAGAGAGCGTAAAATCGGTGTGACAGGATCTCGTTTGTGGCTTCCCGTGAGCAGACAGGCAGCCGCATTTTAGACCACTGGGAGATGAGAGAAAGAGAGGTTACCCGACATACAATGAATTACAGTAAACGAGTCGTGTTGAAATAACGGTGTGAATAACAGGTTCGAAACTATCCCTGCTTAAAAGGGTTTAACATTGGCTAGCTGACGAAGATGCTAAAAGCTAGTCCTAACTATGACATTAATTTATTTGTCTAATTTAAGACTACTATAAACTTCTTAAATCTTTTTTAACGTCAGATGTAAGGTACATCGTGAGGGTGCCTCGATCAAGTTATCATCAGAATGCTCTTTTGGCCCGCATTGGATAATTTGGGTTTTAACATTGGCTCACTAACACTTTTATGCTACTTAACACAGTATCAGTTTGTGAAGACTTCCAATCTCTTATATGCAGAATTATAATTGTGTGTTATAGGTATGTAGTGTTGGGTGCCGTCCGCATAGCAGTGGTACGACACCCCAAATCTACTCATAACTGATCCATAATCGATCCCTGGTGTACACCACAGATGAGGAGAGTCGCCAAGGATGAATGAACATCTATACTAGAGAAACTTCTATTAGACAGGAAAGACTGAAACCATTTGAGTACCGTACCTATGATACCAATAGAAAGTTCCAGCCGAGATGAAAGAATCTTGTGGTCTAGGGAGTCAAAAGCGAGCTCAAGTCTAAAAGCACTAAGGCCATACTTCTATTGTCTTTGAAATATGCTCTTTTAAGAAATGAAGTACACCAGTACACATTTTTCAAAAGGGGGATGATATTTTGCACCGCTGATAACAGTGGGCCTCATACACTAATAATTGCGTGGATTATTTCTCATTTGTACGCACATGAGAACTTAGCCTAATTCACAACACGTGAGTATGCGCGTGAATTTGTTCTCAATCTCGTTCTAATATTAGTGAATTTAGAGTATTCTTAATGAGCGTGCGCGTGCACAAGATTAGTAATTCGCATAAAAGATGCCCACACCATCTCCATATAAGGGCTTTCTGCACAACCTTTCCTTTACAGCCTTTCGTCACTCTGGTCAACATGAGGTCTCATCGGCTCTGCCAGGGTCTCCAACTCTATCGGCTCTCCATCTGTCGTCCCTCCACCTGCCAAATCTCCATCATGGCTTCTCCCTCTTCTGACTCTGCCGTGGGCCTTCGTCCTGGCTGTGGTCTCGGTCCCCACCTGGCTCATCCTGATCTCCCTGGCTCCTCCCACCATCATTGCTGCCTTGGTTTCTCCCACCACCATCTCATCTTGTCTCCTGCCCTTTGCCAGCCCCTGCCCGAGTCTCCGCCCTCCCTCTCTCATCAGTTTAAACTATCATCGGCTTGAGGACGGGCCGGAAGGGGGAGCTACTATAACAGTTTTATTATCATCCTGTTTTGGTCTGCCTGCTGCTGCTGAGTTGGTTTGCGTCTGTAAGCTTCGTATATCTTTCTGTTTTAAATCATTATTTACTATCATTCCCTGTTGTTTATACTCCTAAATATAACTTACTCAACATCACATATTAACCTGACATCGCTGGCTTCAATCTAAATCGTTGCTAGCACAACACACTAGTAATTCGCTACCCTGTTAGCGTGCCCTCGGTGCGCTCTTTATTTATTCATTTATTTCGCTCGTGCCTTTTACAAATCCATC